AAAAGAAAAAAGTACTATACTGAACTGTACCTTGATCTTAGTGAATCAAAATAGCTTTTTTCCTTGCTATGGAATATGTCCAGGTGTGGGCACTTGTTTTTGTTCTCTACCTACCTGCTTTATTCCTATTGTGTAGTACTATTATAGCAAAGACCCCAGCTCCGCTGGGAGATATAACATACTCAAGATAAATAAATCTTATTTTCTAATTTTACAAAGTTAGACATTTTGATTGTTTACAAGGTTAAAAAAAAATTTGTGTGTGTGTGTAATGAGGGAGGTCTTCCCTGCAGGGCGCTGTGGAACCACCAGGACCTAATGGGTGGAGGCACTCCTCTCTGGGGGGGATGCCTACGCACATTATCACACTGCTGCCACCCACACAAAGAATGGGTATTCAACTGTACCTTCACACGCTACTTTTGAAAATTGCAAGCCTTTTTGGTGCAGTGAGGGAAGAGTAAAATGTTCTAGATGAGAAAAAAAAAAAAAAAAAAACAAAAGAGTGGAGTGGCGATCCACTGTAAATTCTCTCTCTCTCTCTCACACACACACCTGATTTTTATATCTGATATCAGTAGCACTAAAGAGGAGGAAAATTCTCTACTGAGACAGAGAGAATAACTACCACATATTTACATGATTCAGAGTCTGCCAAGCATGGAATTTAAGCCAGCCTTTGTGAAAGTTAACAGTGAATGATATGGTGTAAGCTTTGCATTGCTTACTTGTTGCTTATTGCTTAGCAGGATTACTGGAGGAGAAGAGATGACTTGCGACAGGCCACCTATAGTCTCCATGGTTTATGTCGAGTACATAGCTTGATTATGCAACGTGACTGTTGATATAATATGCTTCTTTCAGTCTGCTGCAACGTAAATGGTATTAAGCATTTTTATAAGGTTTTGAAGTACTTGTTTTGACATGACATGGGATGCCAGGTGTAGGGGTTTTGGAGCTTTTTAGGCGCTGAAACAAGCTGGTTGTAAGCCAGATTGCATGATTTGTACTACACTAATCTCAACGTTGTTCAATAGCTCTTAAGATGGATCTTATCTTTCAAGCAAGAAATTTTGGTCCTGTCCTTCGTTGGAGTAACTCAGTTATAGCGCAGGTTTTCCGTGAAATGGAAAGTGTTTGTGTTGGAGCCAGCTTTCTTACATATGGAGCAATCATCGATGGCTGCACCCAAACTGGCGAACTCGCTATTGCTTTTGGAATTTACAGGATCATGCTCTCAAAGGTTTATGCCATTTGATTCAACAATTAGCAGCAACTTTATGTAATCCATTGTCAGACAGAAAATAAAATCCGATTGAGTCATTTTCAAGTAGCTAATCAAAGCTTCGGTCAGGAGCAGTGAAAAGAGCATTAGAGGTCTTCACAGAGTTGAAGTCTGAAAGTCCTATAGATCCAAATCACGCCATAATGTGTTTTCTCATGGACGCATGCTCAAAAGCAGGAGATGTAAGTGGTTTTTATGATTTCTGTGGCTTTGTTGTGACAGCCAAATTTTTCAGGGAAACTCCGTAGTTTACACCATGATGCACAAGTGTGGAATCCAAGGATCCCTAGAGCCTTATACAGCAGCTGTTCATGCATGCAGCAATCATTTTCCATCTACAATGACATGAAGGAAGAACATGTGAAACCAGATGAGGTAATGATTTGTGATCTAATTTCATTTTGTGTGTTTACTTGATTTTCATTGTGCAGATTTTCTTTAGTGTTTTGATTGATGTTGCTGGCCATGGTGGTAAATTTGACTGCACTTTTGTATTACAAGAAGTTGAAAAGTACTCTCTTATTCTTGGTGATGTGATATTCAGCTCCCTAACAGGAGTTTCTAGCACGTGAGTCACTACAATGTTACTGCTTTGAACTTGATGAAATATTTCATGGCCAGACAGGGATATTTCTTTACGAAAATATACAGGTGGTGGAATACAACCCAGCGTTCCCACTTTGTGTGTACTTTTCAAATCATAAAGTATTTGAATTCAGGCTTTTACAGCTAACAAGAGCAAAGAGAAGCAGCAGGATCCTAAGCAATGAGCAGGAAAATCTATGTGTTTGGTAATGGGTCTGTATGGAGGCCTTTTAGAACATGCCTCAGCATAACCAATTGTTGTTGAGCCCGAGAAGCTAGATCACTTGGAAGAATGTCGAGTTCTCTTCAATTCCATGCCAGGGCATGACTGTTGTCTGAATAATCACCATTTAAAACTGAATATTTATTAAGTAAATACTCTGAAAAGCCTAGATGGTACCAGAACCTCCAAAATGGTTGATGATTGAGGACTTGTGATTCCATTAATCATGTTAAGCTTTCTTGATGAGTACATTGCTAAGGTTTTAGAATAAAATAGAAAGAGGGAGTAATGTATGTTAATCATCATTTTATAGTCATTTCACTTGAATATTCACAATAATAAAAATATATGGAAAGTTGGTGCAACATTAGTTTATAGACAATTTATAGCAATTATAGTTCATAATTAAAATCGAAGTTCACCAAAATTTAAAAGATATGATAAAAAGCATAAATTTTTAATCTAGAGAAAACGAAAATTTCATAAAAACATGAGAATACAAATATATTGATATAAATTATAATTATAATATTATTGTAGCATTATAGCAGAATTCTAGCATTATAGGATAAATTAAAATATAATACATAATACTAAAATGAAATAGTTATATTAAATTACATTAAAAATGCTAAGGAATTTCCTAATAAACTTAAATATTAAAGATAACTCTAAATTAAATAAAAATGTTGCTATGAGTTCAAAGTGTATTTTCAAATTAGCATTTTCTACAACATTCATCTTACAACTAATATCAATCCCAGCTAAAATATATTGCTTTTATATAATGTTTTTTAAAATAGTTTTAATATTTTATATTTATGTAGATAGTGGAAAAAGTGTTTGAGAAAAGTGCAGTAATGGTATGAAGATTTCATATAATCTGATGAATAGAATCTGAATTAACAATTAAAAATAATAATTTCACTAAATAAATTGTAAATGTTTTAAAGTAGAATTATATAAATTCTTATTATGTTTTGT